GTGATCAACAGCTACTGTCAATGTTTAATTTTAAAAAATAATTACAGTAAAATACACACTGCCATTAATCCACCTCAAAATACTCTTATCCCATCATTCTTGCTACTTTCTGCAGCAGTTCTGGAACCCTCTTTCGTGAATACCTTTATGAAGTATGATCAAAAGTATGGTGACTGGCACTGCTGAGTGCCATCCAATGGAAATGCATGCTCATAAAAGCATCACAGTGTGCTCTCAGCCACTTTATTCACTGGATCAGGTACCACTGTGGAACTCCCTGTTCTTCATCCAAGTCAAAATGATAGTGAAAGGCAAACATTTGGAATCAATTCATGATGTTGAGCCATAGCAATGAGACTAAAGACACTCATGAAAGAGCACTTCTAAAACTGCTTCAGAAAGTGGCAAGAACAACAGGGAAATTGGGTTCAAAGAAACAGGATATATTTTGAGGGGGATTGATGGTAATATGGCTTTTACTGCAATAATTTTTAAAAATTTAAACACATATTTTTATCACATCTCATGTATTGTAAAATTCCTTGGTAGTCAAAGAAAAAGGTCATCTATTTAAATAGTTAGATGGGAGTCATAGATTGAGTCTAACTAGACTGTACAGATACGTTCCCAGCATCAGCTGGGGGCCAGAGAGACCCAGAATCTTAAGTCCAAAGTCTTCATCTTCAACATCATTGTTGAGAGCCCCATAATCCAATGAGTTTGTGCATTTTGTATCTATTTGATTTTTCTTTTGCAAATCCTTATCTGAGTCAAGGAAAATAAAAATCAAAAATATAACTTACTGAGGCAGCCTAAGAAAGCCCCAGGAGAGATGGCAGCAGTCATACAAAGAGAAAATAACCCAGCAGAGTATAAATAAAGCCTGCAGGATGCAGGAGCTGAACTGCATCATCTCTCTCCACTCACCCCTGGAAACCCGCAGAGAAGCTGAAGCTGGAGGGGCAGCCTTATGGGGACCCTGCAGCCTGCTGCATGGGCAGCTGCCCAGCTTGGAGCAGAGCACCTAGAGCTCGAGTCTGACACCAAGGAGACTGATTAAAGATGCTAAACTGGCCAACGGTTAAAACTCGTAAGCCTCTGTCCTTTGTTGAACTGCCTGACTTCACCCCAAGGTGATCCAAGACCATGGCAAGACACCTGAGAAATGTCCCAGTGTGAAATGATCCATGGGGGTTTTGGCAACATCTGCTGGCAATATCTCAGAGTAGGACTGGCCCTCAATGAGCCCTGTGGAGAGCCCTCCTGAGCTCATGACTGTAGAAATTCTGCCAGCCCTTCCAGTGACACCAGAGTCCATCTTTGTACATCCCTGGACTTTGTCACTGGTGGTCTATTTCCTGTTTCTTCCATCCTCCTTCTCTCTTTCTCACTCATGGCTGAGTTGTAATGTGTTTGTCTGGCAGGAGGCTAAATGTAGTAAACTAAAGCAACTGATGGCTTCCCAACTTACCCAAGTTTCCCTGAATCTCATACTAGAGAGGTGGAATTTCATCAGGCAGGTCTTGACCATCTTTGACTATGGGAAAACTTCCGATAGTCAAGTTGGCTGGAGGAATTTGAAGTTCTGGGAAAAATTACTCATGCATATGAATCCTGTAGAAAGTAGCATTTAAAATCTCTTTTCACAGCATCTTAAATGGCAAATGGCTAGAGGGAAATTTTAATTTAAACTCTACATGCTTCTGTTCCATTCAACTCATTCCAGTGTGAGCTCAGAAGAAATATTTGTTAAATTCCTACAATGTATCAGGTACTGTGCACAGCCTTAAGGATATGAGTGAAACACAGCTGTACCCCTGAGGAGCTTCCCACCTAGCAAAGATGTCACAGATATCACCTTCTTTAATTTCATACAGAGTGTGACGTGAGTATGACAAAGACTGTAGCAGAAGCTCAAAGAGAGCAGTTTATTGCAGCCAGAGAAAAATGGGGAAGGCCTCTGGAAGGCGAAGTGCGTGTTTCCCCAAAATAAGATCTACCTGAAAAATAATCAGCCTTGAAAAGTAGAGATCAAAAGTGCCAGCCTTGGGCCTGAGATTTAGCTCAGTGGCATCATGCCTGCCTCACAAGCACAAGGCCCTGAGTTCGATGCCCGGTACCAAGAAAAAATAATGCGGCCTGATCAGCCTGTCCTTGCCTTACCTGCCATCACTATTCTCTTGCTCAGTGGCTACTCTGTAGGGCAGGTATGGTGAGGATAGGCTGATTGGGGCTGGCCTTTTTGATCTCTAGTTTTCAAGGCTGATTGTTTTTCAGTTAGGTCTGATTTTCAGGGAAATAGGTGGGTAGCTGTGATGAATAGGACTTGGTAGCAGAAGCACTGCCTCGATAGAAGATACAAAACAGACAAATGAAGAACTAACCCTAAGCTGGCAGCATGCTGGATGTGCACAGCTCTAAGGAGGGAGACAGCATGCTCTTCCCAGAAGTGTGTGTGTGCGCACACACATGTGTGTATGTGCCTGTGTGCAAATGTGGACAAGGAGTGATGCAAGAGGTTTAAGACAGATAGGACAGGAGCCACACTGATCCATGGTTCTCCTACTCACTAGCAAATGCTTTATAGCTATCCCTGGAGCTTGGAGATTCTGCTCTTTGGAAAGCCCTCCCTGACCACCGCTGCCGGTGTGCTGCTCTTCTGAACAACTCTGCGGTATCTGAGAATCAGTATTTTGGTTGTTTGTTTCTTCTGGTCTCCCACTCTGCACTGTGAGCCACTCGGGGGTGATGACTGCTTTATTCACTGAGCTTCTGTACCAGCGGCCTCCCTGGCATACAGTAGGTACTCAGAGAAAATTTCACATTTATGAATTATACTTGCCTGTTGTGCCTTTATCAGAACTTCCCACAGTTGAGAATTCCAAGGCCTGGAGAGATTAAATAATTGGCTTCCATCACAAGGCCAGGCATGGGAGAGTTCATTTCCACATCCCCTGACTAGTGGAGGAGGGAGTAGCAGAGAAAGCATGTTTCCAACCATCTCTCCACTCCAGAGCCAGAGAGGCCACCATCATTCTGAGCCATTGATCAAGACCTTCACAACAGAAATACCATTCTGAACATCTCTCCCTTCTCTCTCTACTTCCAGCTATATTTTCTCTATGTGACGTGCATTATATCTTTTTTGTTTATTGCCTTTCTTCTTCTCTAAAAGAAGAGGGGGGATTTTTTTCTGTTTAGTTTACTGCTGTACAACCAGCATGAAGAACATACCCAGCCTCTAGTAGGGGCTTCATAGATCCATGTTGAATGATGACAGAATGAGCACTGTGCAGTGGAAAAGAAGACATGAGGCAGACAGGAACATGCACACTGAAAGCAAGCAACTCACCAAGTCCTTGCACATGTCCAGGGTGGGCAGAGCTTCCAGTGGACACCCAGCCTGACAGCAGTGGATGATTGTGGTCCTGCCTGAAGCACCTGGTGATAGAAGCTGCCAGACGCTGTGTGTGGAAAAATCAGGACGGTTCACAGCATCCTTCAGAGTCAGGCAGCTGCAAGTGAAGAAGAACAAGATGGCTAGGTGTGTGCCAAATGATGCTCTGGTGGGAACATGGCCCTGAGAGCGAGACAGGCCTGGAAGGGCATGAGCAATGCCTCGTGTCACTGGCTCCAGAGCTGCCCACTCTGGACTAGATGCCCTTCTTTCAGGCCTTCAGCATTATTTTTTTTGTAGCACTTCTCATTACCTTACATGCATACAACTCCTTGCCAATCTGATCACCTCTGTATTTCAGGTACTTACGAATCACTAGGAAACATGTAAAATGCAGACTCCTTGTTCCACCCCAAGAGATTCTGAATGTATGTCTAGGGTAAGCTCAAGAATCAGACTTTTCAACTGGCAGCCCGAGTCATCTGAAGGAAGCCATTCTCAAGAGCTGGGAAGTTCTGCCTGCACTGGCTAAAAGCTCCGGACCCTAAAAGCTCTAAACCCTTATCACCAACATGGGGTCTGGTACACAGTATCATAACCCCTATGGCAGACGAGTGAACTAAGGTACAACAGACCTCATCACTTATCCAGAATCTCCTAACCAGTGACATGGGGAAAAAAAGTTCAAAACTCAGATCTGGCAGATTCCAAAGTACATGTCCTTCCCATGGTCCCAAGCAAGGGTTTGGTGCAGTGGGGCAGAGGCTTTGCACTTCCAGGGAAGTGCGCAAGAAAATCAAGGTGAGTGTGGAAGGAATATGTTAGAATTTATGTTCACATTTATTTTAATACACCATGTTCACTTTTGTTTCCTGAGTTTATGACTTACAAGCACAAATCCAGAGTTACAGGTATGCAAAGGAAAAATAAATAGAGATGGTCCTCAACTTCCAGTGGGGCTGAACCTGATAAACCTATCATAAATTTAAACTGCACTAAACACACCTAACATATTGAACTGCATAACCCCCCAACACAGTACCTTGTGGGATACATGTTGTTACCCTTGCACCTGCCCCTGGTCAAAATTAATAGAAAATATTGTATTGTATATTGCTAGTCCAGGAAAGGTCAAAATTCAAAAGTTTTAAGTAGTGTCAATTGCACCATCATAAAGTAGAAAATCATGTCAAACCACAGTTCATAATTGTGTTCCATAATTTAGGGAACTTCTATATGCATAATGCATAAATAAACATCCCAGTATAGGATGCTTTCTCAAAAATGCTTACTGATGCCGGGGATTTATCTCAGTGGTGCCACCACCTGCCTCGCAAGCGCAAGGTCCTGAGTTCAATCCCCGATACAAAAAAAAAAAAAATGCTTACTGATGGTATGTACACTCATAACTTTTGAAGACCACTGTTCAGTTGCTGGCTTTTACCTGTGATACTGTTGAAATGTAGTAGTGCCCAAGCCAATGTACCTTAATGATACTGTGCTTGGCATCTCACACCTGCTGAGACTTCTCAGGGGCCAGAGTAAGAGATGGATGAGCATAATTACTGCAGGAGGATTAAACTCTTCTGCTTACAATTCCTAGGGACTGCACATTTGTATTCTTGCTTACCAGAGACTGATTATTTCACACTGGATTTCCTGGGACTGCCATTATCTGCCACATACCTAGGGCCTGTGTAGCTGTACATTTCCTGGAAGGCAGAGGCAAGCATCTCTCTGCAGGGGGAGACAGACACAAGTCTCTAAGCACAAGGATGAGGTAAGAGCTCTTTTGTCTTTTACTGTATTCCCTATCACTTATGGCTCAACCCCATGGGGTTGTTGGGAGAAAAAGCCACATTTAGAAATGAAAATTACATAGCTGACATGGCCAGGTTTGGTCAAAAAGGAGCTTCTCTGGTTGGTGACTCAGGGGAGTATGGAGAAACTGGTAGGAGTTGTCCCTGCTCCAAGGAAGACGGGGTCCTGGGATATGCCTTTCAAGGGCTGCCCTGGAAAGGAAGTAGGTGGAGGTCACTGAGATGGAGATGGGAGACACAGTGCCAATGCAAACAGCTCCCCTGCTGTTGGTACGGGCAATCCAGGGGAGGAGTGGGCTAAAGCCCAACTCACTCACACACTGCTTGCCAAGCTGGGGCCTTTGTGTGGCCCTATGTAAGCAAAGGAAGAGCGATATCTCCTTCATTGTCATCCCAGGGAGGGAAGGGTCCTGAAGATGGGAGTGAGGCTTTTATCTAATTTGCACAAAGATGGAATGTGGACTTCTAGTGGCCATCGAAAGGGGTGTCATTCTCCATGATGTGACTCCATAGCACAGCTCAAAAATGCCCCAGACATCTACCCATGTGTGTGCTAGGAACTGCCAGATGCTAGTGGCTTGCAGAAGCTGCAGAAGGTATAGTCTGAGCTCCAACTGGCGTGGGCCAGTGTCAAGCCTAAGAGAAGAGCAGAGCTAAAACTATCATGAAGCCAGGCAGGTCAAGATCTCACAGATGTTCTAAGGAAGGCACTGAACTCACGTAGGCTTTAAGATACTTCAGTTTAAGTCCAAGAAACTTCAGTTTAAAAATTGAAAAATGAGGGCCAGGGATTTAGCTCAGTGGTTCTGGCCCTTGCCTCATAAGTGCAAGGTCCTGAATTTGATCCCCGGTACCAAAAAAAATGAAAACATGAGGGCAAGTGATCATGGAGCTTGATTCCCCTGAAACAGGGACAGTTTTGAAATTGTTGTGTGCTTTAATGAGTACACACGGCTTTGAAAATGTCACAAAATGAATCATTTGTTGTTATAAAGACTGCGTTAAGACAGCAATCACATTCTCAGAAAACCCATTTTCTCAAGAATGTTGCATGCAGTGAGAATGACCATGAAATGTCTTTTTCTTGTCCAAGAAAACCCATTTTCTCAACAATGTTGCATGCAGTGAGAATGGCTATGAAATGTCAAGGAGGGCCAGCGGGTGATGGTTACAGCCCTGACTAACTGGGGCCAGTCTAGAAACTGGAGCCCTGAGAGGGTGGAGTGCTGGGTAGAAGAGCTCAGAGGAGACAGAGGGAACCCAAACTGGGGCTGGGCCAGACAACTCCTCATGGAATCTCCCTCTCCAGAGATGGGGAAAAGCAATCACAGTATCAAAACCCCAATCTGTTTTAGTGTCTCCTATATGCCAGGCATTGTGTTTATAGTCCATATGAGTTCATCCAGTCCCACTGCAGTTGTGTGAAATCAGTAGTGTTAACAGTTTTTTCAAAGCAAAGGAGTTAACAATTAGGGGAATTTCTAAGAATTATGCAAAACCAAACAGCTATTGGGTAAAGGCATAGGATCTTAGCCTTAGGTAGGAGATCAAGGTTAATGATAGCGGCTCTAAGCCTGGCTACCTGTGTTGAAGTATTGGCTCAGCAATGGCCTATCTGTATGGCCCTAAGAGAATTACTAAACTGCTCTGAGTCCCCACTTTCTCTCTGTAAAGTGAGATGATAATAATAGAAAGTACTTCACCAAGCTGGTATGAACATGAATTATATTTTTCTACATAAGGTGTTTAGAACTGAAAGCAACTGCAATAAGTAATGAATAAATATTAGTTGCTATTTTGATTACTTAAAAAAAGTATTATGTTCACTTTGCCCTAGAGGGCTTTGGCATTGCCCACTTCTGAATGAGAACCCTCATCATAGCAATTTCCATTTCTTAGGTGTGTGCCAAGCATGGGGTCTGCTCCTATCCAGATCCACTCTCCACCCTTTCTCTATTCTACTCTCTTCCCAGGGCATTTATCCTGCAAATTATATTTTCAAGGGTCCCTTGACACCTGACTTTCAGGTAGTCTCGGCCCATGAGAGGTGAGGTCCAGGTGGAGGTTGGAGGACAGGAAGAAGCGTTTCTGACTCTTCCAGGTTTCCAGATTTCCTCTGCCCTCTTCTCCCTCTATGATCTCCCTTCTTTCCAAGCAGCCTGCATCTTGGGCTCCTGAGCTCTGAGAATAACTCTTCTTCATCCTTCATAAGCTCACCTTCAGGGATAGCAGCTGCTTCCTGCTGTTGCTGACCTCAGAAGCACCTCTCTTGACCCCGCTTGGCTCTTTGGTTCTTCCAAGGTGATGTAACCAGTTTGGTAGATTGAACCTCCCATCCCAGCCCACTGATGGCCCTGCTCAGACCCTAGCTGACACAAGCATCATCTCTGGAGGTGAGCAGAACAGGAAAGGATGAAACCAGGTCTGATCCCAAACAAAGCAGCAGGGCAGGAGCTCAGGCATTCCAGAGGTTAACACTGGAGCCCAGTCATCATGACCAGAACCCAGAAGGTGGAACCCAACCAGAGCCTGAAGACCTGACAACCATTGTGGAGGGCAGATGAAATCCTGCAGAGATTTTCACAGAGGGAGCTCAGCACCCAAACCCCAGAGCAGGACTGAGCCTTCAGGTAGAGATCAAGACTCACAAGGAGAGGGGAAATCCAGGCAAGCTCTGAGAAGACTACAGAGATTTGGGTGTTAACCACATTTTGGTTAATTTAATTGCACTGTAAATGCTGTTGGAGAGCACACAATTTAAAGGTGCCCTGTGGGGAATGGTTTGGTTCTGCAAATAATTATCCCCCTAATTTATTTGCTTATGTTTAGATTTCATATATTGGATTTGCTTATTTCTTTATTTATTTCTATCCAAGAACAATAGGGCCCAACTCAGCTGGGAATGAGCAGTTGCTTTGAATTAGGCACTGTTTGGAATCAACCACAATCAGTTTAGTAAAATTTTGATTATATTAGCCTTGCAAATAGGCTTGTGCAGAGTGAGCAGCAATGCATTCTGGGAATTATGGAGAGGGAAAAATCATGATTCCAGGTTATATAAGGTTTGGAAAGACCCTGGAGCTGTCAGGGATAATCTGAACTATCCGATACTCAGTCATTGTGTAAAACCTCTTGGCCAAGTGTAGCTGTGAAAGCCATCATTTGTCTAATAGTAATTTCCATTTGCTGGTCATGGCTTCACCTGCTGGGATGATGAGAAACAGATTTGCACCCCTAGGTGTGCATTGTCTATTTTTAGATATCTTTGTTTTAAAAATGAAAATCCTAATTTCTTCAGCCTTCCTCCTGTGACACTTCTCCCAAAGCAGAGGAATGGTTAATAAGTTACAGTATATACACTAGGTAGAAAAATTTGCAACCATTAAAATATGGTTATGAAGGGGGAAAGAAAACCTTAATGCTAAAAGACAAGAGCAGACTACAAAATTGGAAAGAGGCCATTTCCATATTGCCGAACACTTAGATTCAAACGTCCTTTGGCCTTTCCTAATTGTAAAAATAATTTGGTAACAGGATAAAACATTTATGATATGGAAAAATAGATCTCCAAGTCCCTAAATGACAATGACTATCCAGTTCTGCTCTAAAAATAAGAACTGCGAGGAGAAGCCTGTGAGAATCAGTGATCCTAGGGCCTCACCTTATTTAATGTCCAAGGGTGAAATCTGGTACCCTTGTTTCTCACTTCTCCGTGGGGAATTCCAGTGTGCAGGTAGGACTGGAAGTCGCTACCTCGTTATCCAACTACAGTGTTCATTTCCGTATGTCTTTTAGTCCATTTCACATGCATATGTTCACTCAAATGTAAACATAGTGTACTCAATTTTAGACACAGATATATTCATGTAAGATTGAAAAAAGCATTCTTTGAACTGAAATATCTGTTTAACATAAAAATACAGATAAATTAAGAAAAGAAAAAAATTTCCCGTGGTCATAGCAATCTAAGATAACCACCATTAACATTTCGATACAAAATTCTTTGGGGGGCCTTTTTTAAAAATTCATTTTCTCAGAGATAATTGTGCTGCACATACAATATTGAAATCTCTATTTTTCTCTGAACTTTGCAAAAGCAAATTTTTTTCCCACACTATTACATAAGATTTGACCATCACCCTGTTGTTATGATAGCACCATTCCACTTACAAATTATTTTATGAAAAAGAACTCTGTGGATTATTTCTTTACAATACAGGCCAAGAAATAAGTCATTGGATCAAAGCATGGGATTACTTAAGACTTTCTTTTTTTTAAAAGACATCAAGTCATCATAATTACGAAAAAAGTTCTACCAAATGGGTCAGCCCGTTCCCCACACTGCTTTGTTCCTGGGATATTTAATTGTAGACTACTAAACTAAAACTGGTTTTGCTAAAGGAAAGGGCTCAAAATCACCAATGTGCAAAGAATGCCTTGAACCAGCCCTCAGAAAGCTCATTATAAGGCTGAATCGGAGATGTTCTTCATTGCAGCTGACAGGCAGGGAAAGCTCCATAATGAGGGTCTTCCCGGGCACCTTGTGGTGGGTGGGCAGTGACAGGAGCACTCCCCACTGTAGCACTCTCCTGGTGGAGGGAAGAACCAGCCCTACCAGGGCCCCTACACACTGGTCAGAGCTCACCAGGTGGGTGATAGGGTGGGAGGGAGGAGCTGGCTCCTTGACAGCAGAGAGGAGGCAAGTGGGCCTTCATTACAGGAGGAATCTGTTGCTCCTGCAGAATAATGAGCATCACCAGAGCTCTGTGGAATCCTCCAGGGCCCCTAGGGAGCCCAACAAACTGGTCTGCTTGTGCTAATTCAACAACAGTATGGCACTGAGGGAGAGATGGGAGGAAAAGGAGTGCTGGAAGGGGGGACACGAGGTCCCTAGCACTTCACAGTGTGTGGGGGTGACCATGCAGCCTCCCTTCTAAGAATCTGGTTGATGATCTGGGGGACAGACGTGGCTCTGCCCAACCCTGCCCTGCACCCACCTCCAGCCCTCCTGGCCTCTGTGAAGTTGGTCCCCAGCATAGGAACGAGGACCCATCTTGGGGCTCCTCTGCCTGAGCACATCTCCAAGGCCAGTGGGGCTCATGTTGTTGCAGAATTGGGAGGTCAATGCCCAGAGATGAAGTCCAAGCAATGGGCATGAGGGGAGCTTCCAGCTCCTCTGTGGGGAGAGCGGGAGGCCCCTCCCTCAGGGTTACTTGAAGAGCTCCAGCAGGGCAAGGCCCAGCATTAGTGCACACAGAATTGACTTGTTTCTTTTCCCGTCCCCCTTTCCCTATTCCCTTGTTTGTGTTTCCCAGGGCCACCAACCAGACAGACTGCGTAATCCACATCCTTGTCAAGTGCCTACTTCTGGGATTACCACACTGAGATACTGAAGAACTTTATGCTCATTTGTTTGATTGCTAGTTTGAACTTCAACATGGCCTCTCCCCAGGTCACCAGCTGTAGCTTCAGAAGCAGAAGCTGACTCCTCAGATAGGATTTTCTCCATCCTATAAGGCAATCTGTTTTATAAATCAAATAGCAACCCTTCATTGAACATCCAGTGGCACTGTATCAAGTACTGAGAGCTGCACATCCAATGAAAGAGAAAGAGAAAATTACTCATCACAAGGCCAGTCTTAAGAGCAGCAATCATCAAGTTCAGATCTATTGTTTATTACTCGGGATTTATTTAGGTCTACTACATGCTATGCACATTGCTAGACATTGACCATGTAAAGGTTAATCAAACCCTGCCCCTGCCCTTGTGTAGTTTAAAATCTAGTGGTGGAGAAAGAGAGGTAGGAAAGGACAAGGGGTACAGAAGCAGATACTTTTTAACAGAAGATGGTCCCTGAGGTGGCTCTCATAGGCACCTGACTCAGAGCAGGGATGAGTCACATAGCACTTCCTGGGGGAGACCCATCCACCCATCCACTCTCTTTTGCATGCAGCCATATTCCCGCCATCTCTGCTGCAATCCAGGTGCAAGCTAGGAGCTCAGATTCCTACTGGTGAACCACACAGCTGCGGTCCCCACATGAAACCAGAGCTAAGTCTTAGAAGATGCCTGAAAGTTAGCCAGAAAAAGAGGAGGGAGGAAGCCATCTGGATGGAGAGTGAGGCACAGGCACAGCCAGAGAGGCACAAAGCAGCACTTTGGGTTGAGGTGTGTCTGCTGTGTGTGTGTTTGTGGGGTGGATTAGCATTGCTGGGACAAAGACACTGAGAAGGGCATGGGGCTGAGCTTCAGGGAGGTCCAGGAACCATCTCCAAGTGGCTGGGACTCACAAGATGTTTCAGGGACACAGAAGAGAGGGCTGGAGAACACTGGGGATGCAAGAGATCCTCCGGAGAGGACTGCAGAGGCTGCAGCACTGCAGCTGGGCCTGCATGGTAGGAGGATCTCATGTGGGAGATAGGAGACCCCAGAAGAGCAGCTAACTGTGTGATGCATGCTCTGCCCCTGGGTGCAAAGAGCAGCATGCCAGTGAGTGTTCTTCGGCGAACATGGTTCTCCAGGGTGAGAGTCAAGGCTGCCACGGAGTCATACAGTGCTCATTCTCCTGGGCTAAATGTCATTTGGGCACTGCTGAGAAGCCCTGACCTACAAGGGAATCTGCCTCCCTTTAACCAAACCCTGGAAAAGCATCCATTTAGATAGTTGTTCCTTTAGATAGTGTGAGTTCTTCTTCAAGGAGTTTCTGTACATGGAGATTGCAGAAAGCGGGGGTGGGGTGGGGGGGTGGGGAGCTTGACAGAGACATCACAACATTGTCTGCATCAATTGTCCATCACACACCTTGACCTCAGAGGCCCAACTTATCCCCAGACTTCTCCCTTTGCTTTCCACGTTTGAGGCACCTGATTTCCACCTACAGGCTTAGGTGAGCTGCCAGCTCCCAGAATGCACCTGGGTCTCAAGCAGGGAACGATGTCAGCACATACACTCACCACTCGGCTTCCTAAAAGCTTCTAAGGATTCTCTATTTGCCTGTATTTGGTCCTCAGGTTTCCTCTTGCAGAACCGGCAACCTGCTGGTTAGTCTTGAACCACTGTGGCTACCTCTCTCGCCTCCCTCTGTGCAGAAATCTCGAGACCGCTTGGCTGTGGGCCCTGCCCAGTCAGATTTGTCCTCTTCTGTCACCTATAGCCAGGTGAGGCTTTACTTCCTAACTAAAGTGTGTCTCGAGTATTCCCCACCTTCCAGCATCTGCCTGGTCAAATCTTCAGAAGAAAGATAGCATTTATCCCCTCCTTTATTTTGCAAGATTTTTATGGAACACACAACCTCAGAGAGTGCCTTGAGGGTCTCGCAGTCAGATGAGTGAATGAATCATTGCTGTGGAGTGTGAGTTTGGGGAGACTGGAATTGCACTGAAGGAAGAGGGGTGATAATAGAAGAGAACAGCCTTCGAGCCTCTTTGAGCATTCATTGTCTTAGCTATAAAATGCCCATGATATTGCTTCCTTGCATGGCATTGTAAAGGTTTGAGATAAAGTTAGGTAAAGCAGGCAGCAGATATAGATGCTCTGGAATCTAGAGTTCTTATTGTTAGCTAGAAGGAGACTATGGAAGCCTCTGTTTGGGGGCCTGAAATGTTTGGCTTTTATCCTATTACCCTTCCCATGGGTGCTGACATTTTCATAGAGCAACTTTTCCCAGTTACATCACTGTAAATGCTTTACAGCTGTGCCCAGATAGTCAGCTCCTCATTCTTAGGTGACTCGAAAAGGTGGAACCAGGGGAAAGGGTGATAGACACTCATCCCAGCCCTTTCTTTCTTTTTGCCAATGAAGCATTAAAAGCTCAGCAGGCCAGCTTACTCCTCCAGGTTATATAGCCAGTAAAAGCCACAGTGGCCTGGGATTTAGCTCAGTGGTTCCCCTGCCTGCCTCGCAAGTTCAAGGTCCCGAGTTTGATCCCAAGTACAAAAAAAAAAAAAAGCCGTGGCATACCCTAGACACAGGTCTTCAATGCCAGGTCCATGACTTTCCCTGTCCCTTGCTACCTTCCTTATTGCAGACCACGTGTTAATCTCGGAATGGGATGACAAGAACTCTACCCTGACTGGGCTTCTTTCCCAGACAGAATAAAGACCCTGTAATTGAGCCAGGAGCACTAAGGATTGTGGTAATAAATGCTCTACCAATCTTTGGGGAGCAGACTTGGAACTGCCCAGAGCGGGAAAGTACTTAGGGTCATCAGCTCAGCAAAAGGGGGGAGAGGGGTGACTCATTCTGGACAGTAATAAAAAAACCAGGTTGTTGGGTGTGCAGACAGTGGGAGACATTTGAATCTTGATCATTCCTGTCCAGAACTCATTAAGTACATCTGATATCTTGATGTCAAAAATAACATTCCTTTTTCTTCCATGAACATTTTGACCAAGGAAATTAGTCAAATGAGTACGTGGCTGATCACTACCAAGAGAGAAAGAATGAAGGGGGAAGGATTCAGAATAAAGATAGAGCATCTTGGATATCATTCAAAGGAATTTCATGGGCAGTTGAGAATTTTGGGATCCCCAAAGGATAACATTTCAGGGAGGTACAACGTGTGAAGGTATTTTTATATTCTGAATTATTTGCTGAAAAGCAGTTAAATTTAGAATGAAGAATCTGACAGTGCCTGGACTTCTGACTCAATAGTGCCTTTGCCTAAAGCTCCACAGAGCAGATTGTACACAAGGTGTCATTTCTGAGGTTGCCATCCAGACACCACTGGCAGCCAGACGTTTGCTCCTAAGGCCGGGCCCCGGGAGACTTTGCTTGTCACCACTTAAGAGAGGTCCAGAAGGCTCCAGGGCAGCTGCCTGAAGCGTCTCCAGGCACCTCAGGAACAGGCTTGACCCCAGGTCCAGCCCTTCTGTGAACTCAGACTGCTCATGGGATCGCTCCAGGGACCTCTCATCAAGCCCTGGCAGAAAGATAGGGGTCTAGTAAAAAAATGACCCAGGCATGACTCCAAACCAAGGTTCCTGTTGTGACTTAGGCCTGAAATATCCCCCCACAGTCTCCTGTGTTCAGAGGTGGGGCTTTGGGAAGGTGATGGAAGCATGGGGTGCTAGACTGCAGTAGAGGAGTCCATTGGTGAGTTCAGAGCTGACTGTGCTCTTTGGAGGTGAGACTTTGAGGTCCTGACCTGGAAGGGGTGCATCCTTGTCCCTGGCTCCTCTCTTCTGTCTCTGCTTCCTGACCACTATGGGGTGAGCAACTTTGTCTGCCAAACCCTCAGCTGACCATGGAACGAACCCACTATAACCGTGAGCCAACCCAAATCTCTCCTCCTCTGAGTTGAAGGTGTGGAGCTTTATGTCCAGTGATAGGAGAGTGACTAGCACACACCCTTCATCTAGGGGAGGGGACAAATGACCAAATTATGGTCTGGCTCCCATGCCCCCTCCTGCACTTTGTCTCAACCTTGGGCCCTGCTTTGGGCCCATTAAGCCCAGTTTTAGCAAGTGATTCTTCTATGCCCCTTTGGTGAGAATCCCCCACCTTTGGTATTTGACCAAGTTCCTCCTCTCCCACCACTGACATCTAAGTCCTGGGACTAGCAAGAATCCTGTTAGGCGAGTTTAGCAAAGACAACCCCACCCTTTCAGTCCCAGAGAATGAACCCAGAACCTTTGCACTGAGCTAGCTCCAGCCCTTCCTAGCTCCTTTTAGCCCCCTTGAGAGACAGGGACTCCTTAAGAAGTCAAGGAGGCAGGCTGAGATCAAACTCGTGATTCTCCTGCCTCAGCCTCCCAGGCTGTAGGGTTACAGGCGTGTGCTGTGACATTTGGTTGATCCCCTATTCATGATGACCAGTCAAGCTCCTCTTAGTAACTGTCCATCTGCAGACTCCTTATTCTGCTCATGGATTATACATCTCTGGCTGTCTTCCCTCTTTGGGAGTTGAACTCAGTTCTATAATGAGATCTCTCCTCCCTACTACAGTAACTCAAATAAGATCTGTCTTGTCCTTTGTAGCAAGTGTTCTGTAAACAATTTTTCTTTGATTTGGGCAGGCACATAGCTAACTATACCGCAAAGCATAATAGCACTTGTTTCCATTCCTTGGGCTCCTAATTTAAAACACTACTACTAGTAGTAGTAGTAGTACTACTACTACTACTACTAGTAGTAGTAGTACTACTACTACTACTAATAATAATGATAATGATATCAGCAGCTGGTACTTTTCAAATATTGCTTGGGTCAGACACTTGGGCTAAAAACATCACACACTGTGGTACCCATCAAGGCTTCCACCTTCAGAGAGTCCCAACTAAAGACTGCAAACCTAGGGTCTGGCTGTTTCTGCCCAACAATAATGTCCTGGATGGGCAATCTTGTTGTCAGTGGTCTCTTTTGGCCTGGCTGAGACTCTCAGAGCTGAAATGTGGTGGCATTTCCTACTCAGTCTTTCTTCTTTTTTCCTTCCACCTGCATCGTGGCCAACATTAACTCATGCTCCCTCTCCCCTTGATAGCTCGCAGGGGTTAGCCTGGACCCATTTCTTGCACATGGAACTCTGTATTGGCATTTTCCTCTCAAAAGACTGGACTGAAGAATGGACATTATCCCTTTTCATGTTCACAACTTGTGAGTGTGATACCTTTGCCTGGACACATTTCTTGCACGTGGAACCCTGTATTGGCATTTTCCTCTCAAAGGACTGGACTGAAGGATGGACGTTTTCCCTTTTCATGGTCACAACTTGTGAGTGTGATACCTTTATTATACCCATTTTACAGCTCAAGAAACACTCAGAGGTCAGGAAATCCAGACACAGTTAAATGGCAGAGGAGGGATTGGACACCAGCAATGACTTTCAGTAAAAGAGCAGTTCATATTTGATCACTTCCAGAACCAACGTAAGATAAAGGAAGCAAGTGAATGCTCCAATCAGCCACAGTCTCCTGCTCATGCACTAGCATGCAAAGTCAAGGTGCTGCCAACCAAGCAGAACCCCTTCTCTGCATGGCTCCAAGAAGGGGAGATGCTGAGATGGCTGAGCAATGCAAAGGGCAGCTCTGATGCCCCGGTGATGCAGTCCGATGAAATAAGAGAATGTAAAGAATAACATGGTTTTCCCTCAAACACCAATCAGCTCTGGCTTTTAAGGGATATGCAAAGCCATGCATTCAGTAAATATATAATGGGCTACTACCACAAACTAGGTATCGGGATATGGCAGTGAAAAAGACATACCATGGCCTTTCTCTGTGGGAACCTATCATGCCACCTATTCTGGAGTGCTGTTCTAAGGATGCAGGGCGTTCACACACAGGGTGCACTGGGAATGCTGCTCGGCTCACAGCAGGTGCACAGTTAAATATTAGCCAGCTATCTGAAGCCTTGGGATCTGTCCTAGTTATGGCCTGGGCCCAAGCAGGGCTGCTTGCAAGTCCTGACTCCAGCCTTCCCTACTTTCTTAGCCCTAGCTCTTTAAATTAGGCACACTCCTAGTTATGCAAACAGAATCCAATAAGACAGAGCTTTGGACCTGAGCCCCAGAGCTTCCGTACTACTCAGGCAGCCAGCAGGAAACAGATGGCGCACTCAATTAGGACC